CTACAGGAAGCCACGACCACGTGTGTCAGCAGGGAAAATGGCCGCGGATCCTGTTCGTCACCCGATGCGGAGTTCGTGAATGGAAGCAAAATTTTGCGAACGGTGCTGTTCATGACCTGAATTGGTCGTGAACAGAAGCGTTTGTGACCCGAGGTACCACTGTATTGTTCTTCCCTATGTGAAGTGTATTTTTGATTTCATTTCATTTAAGTAGTTCCTGTCTACATAAGGTTGTACAACTTATTGGATATGTCCATTGTTTTGGTCCCAGTTCAAGCATATAAATGCTGACCATTAGAGTAAGGCAGATTGGTATGACTTGGACTCCATCACTCACAGAATTTATGCCTCTGTATAGGACAATGGAATTGCTTTTAGACAGTTTCCCTATAGAGTTGTTTATCCAGGTTCTTTTATAATGTTGTCTTGGGAAGAAAGGAGACTTTAGACCAGGAACTTTATGTTCACAACTGAAAAAGTTGTAATTATGTATTTTTCACAGATATTACTCAAATATTCTCCCATTCACTACTACGCTGGGGCACAACAAAGGATTGTTCAGACTTAATCTCTCAATTAATTACTCACCTAACTTTTCCACCTACCTTCTCTTCAGTGACATCATAGATTTTATCTATTGTCTTGGTTTTTATCTGAAGGTTGGCTGCAACTAGTGGCAGTGATTCAGATTACTAGCCCTGAATTTTTCTGAATAATAACTGCTGATTACTTTTTTAAAAAATAGTCTTTTGTATAGCATTCAGTTGTTTCAGAATAGGAGAGTTATGAATAACAAAAATGAAAGCTGCTTATAGAAGGCTATGTCTTAGGAAGTACTAATAAATAATGGTCCTGTAAAAAAGCTAAAGAATTGTAAAGTTGAAAGGAACTTTGGAAGTCCTCCAAATCCATGACACTTGTTCAACCTCTGCTTAAATTTCTTCAGTTAAGGAGAGCCCATCACTGCCTAAAATTTTCACCTTTTTGGTCCTAGTTCTGCCTTCTAGAATTACAGAGATCTGGAAATCAGTCTGAATCAATCTGAAATTATAGCCTTTGCTATTCTGTCAGTATATATGCTTCGGAACTAACCTACATAAAAGTATTTATAATGAAAAGAAATAAACATCCACAAGAGACTTAATGCTATTTAAATAGCATACATTTAACATAAAGCATTTTACAGAATAAATAATGAAGCTGACCATTATTTAAGCATAGCTCAGAAGATGTATCTAGATAGGTTTGTAATGGTCTGTGAAGTTAAGTACTATAGCAGGTAAACAGAGAAAGGAATCAAAAGTTTGGCAAGTAAAATCAAGGGGGAGGTAAATGGGAAGATATTCCCCCCCCCTTTTTTCCCCATCTTCTTTCAGTCCAGGCTAGTCCTCACCCAAAGAAGCAGCTTCTGGGAGCTTGAGACCAGAGTAAACAAACAAGATTTGCACAGAGTTTTGGCTATGGAAGTTGGTAGGGAAGGCTCCAAGCAACTTAGACAGAAAGGGAAGCGTAATTGGTGCCCATAATCCTTAGTATTCATGTAAACTAAATGGAATCAGAGCTAGCAGTGACTGATGTGGAAAGAGACTTTGAGGTAACGGTAAACAGTTCAGTGAAGGTGTCAACACAATGTGCATCTGCTGTAAAAAAAGTCCAACAGCATGTTAGTGATAATAAGAAATGGTATTAAAAATAGAGATGCCAATGTCATAATGCCATTATAAAAATAAGTGGTGCAACCGCATCTGGAATATTGTGTGCAGTTCTGGTTGCCATACCTTAAAAAGGATATAGTGGAGCTAGAGAAGTTTCAATGGAGGGCAACTAAGATGATCAAGGGGCTGGAGTAGCTTCCTTACAGGGAAAGATTGTGGCATTTGGGGCTTTTTAGTCTAGAAAAGAGGGGACATGATTGAGGTGTACAAAATTATACATGGTGTGGATGAAGTGAACAAGGAGAAACTATTGTGGGGAAGGTGGTTGAGAAAGTGGTGGAATCACAGCTCCAAAGGGTTCTGGAGGAAATTATCTGGATCCCTTCCAGTCAGGTTTCAGGCCTGGATATGGAACGGAAACAGCATTGGTCGCACTTATGGATGACCTCTGGTGGGAGTGGGATGGTGGAAGTGTGGCCATCCTTGCTCTCCTTGATCTCTCAGCGGCTTTCGATACCGTCGACCACGGTATCCTGTTGGGACGGCTCAGGGAATTGGGGGTGGGCAGCATGGTCTTGTGCTGGTTTGTCTCCTTTCTCCGGGGCCGATCCCAATTGGTGGTGATAGGAAGTGAGAGGTCCCATCCTCAGCCCCTCCTTTGTGGGGTGCCGCAGGGTTCGGTTCTCTCTCCGCTCCTTTTCAACATCTACATGAAACCGCTGGGCGAGATCATCCGTCATCATG